CGTAAATGATAAGAGAGGAAATAATTGTTTAAATGAGAAAGTAGAGAATTGAAGCTACGTAGTTGACTGGAGTTTTGCTTAAATGAGAAAAAAATAGAGAATTGAAGCTTAAGTAGTTGTCTGGAGAAAACTATCAGAACAGAGCTAAGTAATTAACACGAGTTTGGTGCTAACAATGAATATCATATACACATTTTCCAATAACTTTTAATGTAAAGAAATTCAAATCAGGATTCAGAATTTGTTTTCTGGATCCTATTCGGACTGGAAGAGTTAATAATTTCTTTTATTATCAATATACATTTATATCTCATTTTTCTAACATAAATTGTGCGCTACAATCTAATTTCCTGTATCCTTGAAAACTTTTTGTCATGCTACTGACTTGTACTATAATCTAACTATTGCATCCTTCAGCACTTTTTCACATGTAAGTTACTAACTTTATGTGTACATTTGTCAAAGTCTTCTTGTTACGTGCAATGTCTTTATCAACTCTATTCCACTTTCTTTTATGACTAGGGTTTTTTATTTAACCCTGTTCTTCTACCCTGAATTGTTTTCAAAACCTGTACACTTCCAAAATCATTCATACATCCTGAATGCCAGCATGATTTTTTTAAAAAGTCAGGTTTGACATTCGACCCTTTTGTTATGACACTTCAAGTATGAGGTCAAAATATGACATTTTATTCCATTTTGTAGCACATTAACACAGATTTTGGGTTTAAAAATAAATCAGGTCAGGTGTTTTGGGTATGAATATTTTGAAGGCATGAGGGTTTAAAATAAATCAAGAGAGAAGAATGAGTTAAAAATAATAAAAAAAACATTTCTGGTTAATGTTATGACTATAGAACAAGATAATTTAGTCAGACATTCTATTGGATATGCATTATGGATGTTCTTGTCAATACTATTAATACTTTAACTGGCTACTTTACGGTTGTTTGCCTCGCAGTAGTTGCTGGGCTTACCTGTTTACATGCAAATCAATTTGGTTTAATTGTAATAGTGCTGTCCAAGTTGAAATATATTGTTTAGCTACAAGCTAATATGATGTAGAAAGCACATGTATCATCTTTTAGTTACAAATTGGAAAGACGAAAGTGGTGTAACAACAACATTTATTTGAAATTATAAGGGAACTATATTTCATATACAAAAGGATAAACTGCACATAACCCCCTTCATATATACGTTCAGTAGCAATAACCCTCTCAACTCATTTATTAGCACTTAGCACCTCTAGATTGTCAGTTTCAGAAAGGTAAATTGAAGGTAACACCCTCTCCCCCTTGAACTGAGGGGGTCTAAATGCTATGTGTTGAAGGGCTTATTGCCTATTGAAGCTACAGATAAGTGGGTTTATGTTGCAATCTATTTTTAAACAAAATATCCATAAAAAATGAAATTCTGGTCAAATGACATGTATATACCTCTAAAAAGCTCTTACTTTCATCTCACAAAATCCAACTGCAACCAGCCTCCTTCTTCACTCCTCTATCCTCCATTTTCCTCCTCACCTTAGCTTTACCCTCTCTATCACCGACAGAAGCATACAAATCAGAAAGAAGAACATAAGAGGATGAATCATGAGGCTCCATAGTCATTATCCTCTCTGCTGCCAATTTCCCAAGAACCACATCTCCATTCACTCTACAAGCACTCAACAACATTTTCCAAACCAGTGAAGAAGGAACAATTTCCATGCTCTCAATCAAATCCTTCGCTTCTTCCAGTTTACCCCCTCGACAGAATATATCAACCATACAAGTGTAATGCTCCTCATTTGGAGCAATTCCACAGTCTTCATACATAGACCTGAACTGATAACAAGCTTCAGATACTAAACCGGCGTGTCTACAAGCTGAGAGAACACTGATAAAAGTTACACTATTAGGTTTAACACCTAAAGATTTCATCTTTGCAAACAAATCAATTGCTTTTCTACCCAGCCCATGATGAGATAATGCATTAATCATTGAATTCCATGTGACCACATCTTTATATATCACTGCATTAAAGATTTCTGATGAATTGGATATTTCGCCACATTTAGCATACATGGTGATGAGTGAGTTTGAGATGGGTAAGTCTGATTCAAAGCCTACTTTGATGACTTGGGCATGGAACTGTGATCCTAGTTTCAGATCTGAGAGCATAGCACAAGACATGAAAATGGTAGCAAAGGTCATGTGGCTTGCTTCTATTTCATTCTTGTTCATCATTGTGTAAAATTGTATAGATTCTTCAGCATATCCATTTTGGGAATAACCCGAAACTAATGCATTCCATGATACAGAATCAGGAAATGTTGTCTCTGAGAATACTGAATGAGCTCTTTCAATCACACCACATTCTGAGTACATAGTGAGTAGAGAATTCATAAGGATTGTATCTGAGAGTAACCCCTTTTTTCGAACATATCCATGGATCTGTTCACCAAAAATTATCTCATTTGTACATGCACATGTGTCTAATAAAGCAGAATATGAGAATTCATTAAGCTCGATATTCCATCTCTTCATCTCCTTCCAAACACTGATAGATTTATCGAAAAGCCCATGATTTGTATATCCCATAAGCATCATGTTCCATGAAAATATGTCAGTTTCACTACTTTCATCAAAGAAAATCATCTCCATGTCATCAATTCTTGCAGCTCGGGAATAAAATTCAAGAATAGAGTTCTTAACAAGAGAAGCCCTAAAAATTCCATTCTTCACAACTAACCCATGAATCTGTAGTCCCAATTCTAGAACACCCAATTTGGAACAACTACAAATGACACCTGAAAGCATAACCTCATCCTCTCCAATGCTCTGAGATCGAGCTTGCAAGTAGACTTCAATGGATGCTTCATAATTCCCATAGTTTCTATATAAACCCATTATCAGATTAAATGACACGATATCTTTAACCTCCATAGTTTCAAACACAGCAACTGCATCGTTCAAGCTGTTACTTCTACAGTACATTATCAGTATAATGTTGTCAGTATATTGATGGAAGCATTCTCTCATTTTAAGTATCAATGTATGGGCTCTCTTCGCATTTTCAAGAACATTAACCACTGCACAACAAGAAAGAAAATTCAAAGAGGTTGATTCGTTCATCCTAATTCCACTTGATAACATTCTTTGGATTACTTTAAGACCAACATCTCCCTCTCCATTGTATGCAAATCCACCAATGAGTGAATTCCATGTGACAATATCCCGGTCCTCTACCTCCAACCAATGAAATAAATTCTCAGCATCCTCCAATCTAAATATCCTTGCATAAAATGAAATAAACGAGTTAATTACAGAAACATTGGTATCTAAACCAAATTTTATTGAAACCCCATGAATTTGGATTCCAATATCTATACAACAATGCCTTGAGCATAAGCTTATCAAGCTTGAAATAGCAAAAGAACACAACTTTATCGAATGCGTGATGCACCATCTCATCAAATTTAAAGCATCGATTAACATTCCATGTCGTGCACACCCTCTTAACAAAATCTCAAGAGAAATATCATCAAGAGCACACATTTCCGCTGATGCTTTCCACAAATCTTCAAGCTCCCCAACCTTACAATATCCTTTCAAAAGAGAATTTCCCACACAACAATCAGCGGAAAACCCGCACTTCAAACTAAAGCAATGGACTTGCATCAGATACCCGTCAATACCCATTTCCCCACATGCAACAATAACAGACGCAAAGCTCGATTGAGTCGGTCTAATTCCAGCCTGAATCATCTTAATAAAATAACAGAACCCGTTTTCGTATCGTTCGAATCTGTTGAACCCAGATATCATGGTGTTCCAAGAAACAAAATCTCTTTGAGACATTCTATCGAACAACCGAAGTGCATAACAAATCGAGCCACACGAAAAGTACGAGCTAAGGAGATTGTTGGACAGAAAGAGACTGGACTCTGACGCGGATCGAAGAACGAAGGAATGGGCCATTTGCGTGAGTGAGAGAGATTGATGTGCTTTGCATTTGTCAAGGATTGAGATGAGATGTGAAGGGATAGGCTCTTGCATTGGGGTGGCCGTTGATGAATAGCAAATGGGTGTGGGTGAAGTTTTTCCATTTGGGACTAGATTTTTGAAGGGTAAAGGTTGATGGCTTTTTGGTTTTGTCAAGGTTTGAAGGGCTGCTGCTTTGATGTTTGAAGGCAATTTCATAAAGCAGGCAACTTTGAAGGAGGGAGAAAGCTACAGATGCTGAAGGCTATACAATTAAATGAGTTTATTTGGGTATTTTGAATTATTTCTCTCGAGTCCTTTGGCTGACAAGAAATTAAGCTGTGACCCCTGAACAAGTTAACTTCAACCCATTCTAGTTTAGACTTCGATTGACCATTTTATGTTAGAAACCTGACTCAGTTTTTCTCAAACAAGTTTCTTCACACAATCGTGTTGAAGGTAAAAAAAAAAATGATGAGATGACTGAGTCTGAGAGAGTTCCAATATTCACTGGATATATCGAGCGAGAGAAAGAATAAAAATAGTAATGCAAATTCTTGATTGAAGGGGCTCCTACAGTGAACAAGTTGGGCTTACCAAGGTTTAATAAAAAAAGCAGAGCGCTGATGTCATTGGGCTAATAACGAAACTTGGACAGCCGGCCCATGAATTCTATCCCAAATTTTTTCTTCAGCTTCGTAAAAGGTAAGTAATTTATTTCTTCCTCTTCTCCACGGTGCCCAGCTCTAATCAGACCAGCGTCAAGCCCATCGCCGGCTCCAACGAAACGTCGTTAGCCATCATAATCGTCCGCCTGCTATCCGCTGTCGAGATCATCGCAAGAGAGCTACCCGTAAATGTTGTCGAACATTTATCGTCCAATAAAATGAATTTGCCTCCTCAATGGAAAACAAATGCAAAAAAAATTGTAAGTTTATCAGTGTTACCTAGTAACCTAGTTGCACGTTTTAGAGAGTGGAAAGGTGTGACACAAAACGTCTTAGCAACATGCACCCCCAATAAACTATTCACCTATGTCCTAGCTGGTTAGGAGGGAGCAACAAATGACTATAGGATATTACAAGATGCTCTGTCGAGATCACAGCCTTATGGGCTTTGAGTTTATGATGGTATTAATTCTTACTTATTACAAGACACTGTTGTCAGGTGGAGCTTGTGTTGCTCCTTTGCTTTGGGTTTATTGCTATCAGGTGCTGAGCTTGTGTTGCTCCTTTGCTTTGGGTTTATTGCTAGCAGGTGGAGCATACGTTGCTCATATACTTTGGGTTGATTGCTATCGGTTTTGAAGCTCATACATGAGCTTGTGTTGCCTCGATTTGTGCGGTTTTGCTACTGTCAGGTGGAGCTTGTGTTGCTCCTTTGCTTTGGGCTTATTGCTATCAGATTTTGAGCTTGTGTTGTTCCTTTGCTTTGGGTTTATTGCTATCAGGTGGAGCTTGTATTTCTCCTCAGCTTTGGGTTTATTGCTATCAGGTTGAGCATATGTTGCTCATTTACTTTGGGTTTATTGCTGTCGGTTTTGAAGCTCATACATGAGCTTGTGTTGCCTCGGTTTGTGTGGTTTTGTTGCTATCAAGTGGAGCTTGTGCAACTCCTTTGCTTTGGTTTTTTTACTGTTATGTTTCACTCTTGTGTTGCTCCTTTGCTTTGGCTATGTTGTTGTCGGGTTTGAAGCTCATTCATGAGCTTGTGTTGCCTCGGTCGGTAGGTATTGTTGCTATCATTCAGCAGCATGTATAGCCCCTTTGGTTTGACTATGTTGTTGTCGGTTTTGGATCCCATTCATGAGCTTGTGTAGCTCCTTTGCACTGGCTATGTTGCTTTGGCTATGTGTTTTTGGTTGTCGGTTATGTTGCTATCGGTTGATAAATTGTTGGAGCACGTGCTGCTCCATAGTTGATATTTGGCAATGATGAGTAGCGTTTACTGAGAATGCATTCTAACTTACAGTGTTTATTATATTCAGATGAGACAATATGTGATGAGATTGCAGCCTACATTGAATTGACAATGTCTAGGCAATCTACAATAAACATGTAAGTTATAGGTGGGGCATTCAATTTTGACAAATTGATCTATTCCTGAGTCGTACAATATCAACTAGAATTGGTACTCAATTTCAATAACAGTTTTCATTACAATATCAATAGTTTTTGTAAGTACAAGTACATGACATGCGGTTTATAATAACTAAAATAATACAAAATATCTCTAGTAAAATTGATGAAATTTTCCAAGCTAATAGTTGATTTTCGACAAGTCTCAATTCTTTCTTCATCCTCTTTGATTTTAAAAAATACTTATCTCCATACTTATTTTCTTTGACATATGGTTCCCTTGGTTGCTTATTTCTCCTCTTTCATCAGCCCATTCGATAAAATTATATTCTTTATTTGGGTATTTTGCACACACACAATAACACATCTCCTTATTTTTATCATTCTTACACACTTTCATGGATGTTCGGAGATTGCAATCGCACCAAACTTTAAATTTTTTGGAGCATTCTTCTGATATCATATTGATGTCGGGAGGCAAATTGTAAACCATGACAATTTATAAAAGTGGTAAGAATGAAGGATACATTGGCACAATAAGCCCTCAAGCCAAATTTATAGTCTCCAATGTGTTGGAACTAGCCGTTGGAACTAGCCGTTGCTACAACGCTTCGGTTTTGAATATTGTCGAACGGGTAAGAATAATTATGGTATACTTACCCTTTATCCCAAAATTTTATCATTTCAAACCAAACTAAAGATTAGGAATTTGAGGGTTTCTATAAAGTTGGATTCCATCTTTTCATGTTATGAAACAAACATAGAAAGAAAGAAAAAAGATTCCATAAATCTATAAACTTGGATTAAAAATTTTTATGTAATAGATAAGAATCCATAAAAAAAACCGGATTCCTAATCCTATTCTTACCCACTAGTGAACCAAACACCCCCTTATAATACCCAACTCCCAAGAATTGCCGAAAATTGGAAACATGCAGCATAAAAAGAGATTATAAACAGCACTTGAAGTTGTAGAATTTGCAAACGGCTCCCCAGAAGCTGCAGAATTTGCAAACAGACCCCTGGAAGCTGTAGAATTTACAAACAGCCCCTAGAGGCTGCAAAAATTGCAAAGCGCCCCTGGAATGCAGAATTTACGACCAGGCCACTGGAAGCTGCAGAATTTACTATCAGCCCTGTGGAAACAGCAGAATTTCCTAACAGTCCCCCGAAGCAGCAGATTTGCAAACTGCCCGCTGAAGGCTGCAGAATTTACAAACAACCCCTGCAAGCTGCAAAAATTGTAACAGCCCCACAGAAGCTGCATAATTCGCAAACAACCCCTTAGAAACTGCTGCGTAATTCGCAAACAACCCCTTGGAAACTGCAGAATTTCCAACATAAATTTGAATAGCAGAAGAAGCTACGTACCCCTCTCATAAACTTATCTAACTAAATAAACTAACCCATAAAATTTATTTTATATTCAACATAAATTTTGCATTTTAAAAATAGGTAGATCGTGTGCTGGGAGTAGTAGCGATGATTGTACTACAAAACTTATACTACTTTTGTTGTGCGCAGCGGAAATTTCGGCAGCACTTCGGCAGCACAACAAGAGAGATTAGATCGATAAGAATTCCCGTCTCACCAAGGAAACAAGAATCTGAAGCGAATATCTCAACCAAGTGAGATATCGGCTCTTCCTCTCATCAGTTCTAGGACTGACCTGTCGAGGGATCCTACAAGCTATTACAAATCACGACAAGAACACAACTTTTACGTGGTTCGGCAAATAGCCTACGTCCACGGGGCAAGGAGGGGGAGATCTACTATTAGAGGGAGAGATACAACTAGGGTTTACAATCTCACAATCTTAAACCCTCTCAAACAAACTCTCAAATCCCTCTTACAAATATTCTCTCAAAAGAAACAAAAAGGACTACACTTTCTCTCTTCTCCAGCCGCTGAAGAAGATCCCAGACTTGCACTGTAGCCGCACAAGAGAAACCGAAAAAGCAGCCGCAAAAATCAATCCCCAGCTTCACACGTTCTTTCTCTGCCTTTGCTCCTCGTGTTTTCTTTTTTTTTTCAGCCGCAAAGAAATCACACAGCCCCTTGCACAAAACCCTAGAATGATTAATAGGGTTTATTTATATTCGTGAAGAGAGGTTCGGGTGGGCCAGGTCATTCACGAGAAAACCAAGCCACTGTGTTTCCCCAACCGCGTGGCCCCCACACCCAAATCAAGCAACGCGTTTTGTCCCAGCTCTCCATCTCTTCACGTGGGTGCTGGTGGTCCCCACGAAGTCCCACTTCGTTCACAATTCTCCACCTCGGCGAAGTTTCTTTCAAAAACTGAGCCGACACCAAAGCAACCAAATGACCCACTTGTTGTGTCCAGTACGAACTCAATCCACAACAAGTTGAGAAACCCGAATGAGAGTCCAAACAATCTCACCCCCATTAACTAATCCAAACCGGCTGCATCTGAAAGACTGCCTACGTATCCTCTTGCCCAAGGAATCAAGCCGAACGTAGTTCACCCAAATGGCGTAAGTAAATATATTTTTATTATTGTTTATTCTCGTTTAATTATACAATATGTGTATATTTCAACTATTTCGTATCAACTGTTGTATTAGCACAACATGTACATTTTTATTTGTAGATAATTATTCTGTAATTGGATTAATTTTTTATACATGTAACTATTTATTTAATTATTTTTGTTTAAATACCTGAAACTATTTGAAAATAATCCAAAATTTTACTTCCCGTCTGTTCGCTCGAAAAATCGTTGCTTTCTTCATCATTGATTCCATTGCTATCTTGAATAACAGTTTTTCGGTTACAGAAGATCCGGTCTTTTTTAGATCCGGTTACAATGAAAATCAAAAATAAAGAAAATTAAAAAAATTACAACTTTTTCTCTTTTGTCGAACAGATCGCGAGCTCCTGTTTTGTGGTCGCTCGCTT